ATGATATGGTGGATGGTGGTTATGGACAAGGTATGAGAATTGGACGACTAGTTTTGGTTCTGTAAAATATAGGATTATTAGTTTGAAAAAAAATACAGTTTTTGTAATAATGTCTTAAAAATACGAACTTTGCATTTGATTTTCTTCTTTTTTGTGAATTCATTAATCAAGAAACGTCAGAAAAAAGACAAAATCATTAACATTTCTCGTTTGTTTGGTATGTAATCTTTATACTACAGTTTTAGGGACAATAGCTCATGATCAACCTTCTCTTTTTTTCAGACAATAACCCAATCATATTGTGTTACCATAACATAACCTCCAAACTGAAGAAGACGTTTAATATTGTAAACTTTGGGAAATATATAGCAAGGAAAATAATCAGTTGAGAGAGAAGTGTTGAACGTTTGTCTCATTTACCATGAAAGGAAAAGATCTTGGTACACTGTGTATTAATGCATATACAACTTGATGAACCAGTTAAACACATGAATACACAACTTTAGATACATTAAAACTGGACATACCAATTAGTTACATAAACATGTATTTTCTTGTGTTATAGTATAATAGAGTATTATACATATAAAATACAAAAAAATTCCTCCCGCGTACTCCCCGATTTTTTCCGATTTTTCAATAAATCGTTAGGCGCTGGTGTGCCGCACGCGTAGCGCCTAGCGAGTTTCCGAACAAGGATTAATACTCATATTTCTTGTAGTGACACCCCCTATTAAACTTGATTTGGTTACTCTGAGTAAGTTCTTCATCTTGATGAATTCTTCTCGCTTGAGTGGCTTGGTGAAGATATCAGCTACTTGATCATTTATCTTCACATACTCCAATTCCACATTCATCTTGGTAACACATTCTCTAATGTAGTGATAACGAGTATCAATGTGCTTACTCCAGTCATGGAAGACTGGATTCTTTGTCAATGCCATTTCCGACTTGTTCTCCACAAAGATCTTCGTTGGCTCCTCTTGTGGTAGATTGAACTCCTTTAGCAAGTTTCGTAACCAAATAGCATGGCAAGCGGAGGAATTAGCTGCCACATACTCCGCTTCACAGGTAGAAAGAGTGACAATTGGTTGTTTTTTGACATCTATGTGAAAGCGGTCTCTCCAATGAAAAACACGAAGCCACTTGTGCTTTTTTGTTCATCTACGTCTCCACCCCAAACGCTATATCCAACAAGCTTGTAATAGTCAGAGATAGAGTAATGCAAGCCAAAGTTGATTGTACCTTTGATATAGCGTAGGATCCTTTTTGCTGTCTTAAAATGAGTTGTTGTTGGATGCTCCATGTATCGACTTACAACTCCAACTGTATGAAGAATGTCAGGCCTTGTGCAAGTTAGATAATGTTGACTTTCCAACTAGGATCTTAAAGAGTGTTGGATCCACACACTTTCCTTCTTCTTTCGTTCGACAACTTGACTCCACATTCCATTGGCGTGCAAACTGGATTTGAGTCATCCATCTTGAACTTCTTAAGAACCTCTTTAGCATAACTTTCTTGAGTAATGGAGATTTCATTTTGTTCTTGCTTCACTTCGATGCCAATCTAATATCAGTCATCTAAAACTCCTTTATCATCTCCACCTTGAAATCTTCAAACATAATCGGATTGTTACCGGTGAATATCAAGTCATCAACATACAAGCATGCAATGAATATATCATTTTTTTGAGTTTTGATATAACCTGTATGCTCATATGGACACTTGATGAAGTCTTTCTTCTTGAAGTATTTATCAATTTGAGTGTTCCACGCTCTTGGTGCTTGCTTCAATCCATAAAGCGCCTTCTTCAGCCTTAAGACTTTCTCTTTTTCTCCTTTGACTATGTAGCCTTGTGGTTGCTCAATGTATACTTCTTCCTCAAGGTCTCCATTTAAGAAGGCTGATTTGACATCCATTTGATGTATCTTTCAACTCTTCTGGGCTGCCAATGAAATGATTAGTCTAACCGTTTCTAAGCGAGCAACATGAGCAAATATCTCTTTATAGTCAATCCCACCTCTTTGGTTATAGCCTTTCGCCCCCACAATTTGATTTTTCTTCAACTCTTGATTTTGGATTTCCTCTTCCACGATCTCTTTTTGAGATTTCTCCTCTTTGGTTGAAATTGTCTTCATATGGTCTCCAACCTCATGCATTTATACCATGAACTCTTCCTCGGAAATGACCGCCACCACGTCTTGGATTGTTCCGGCCACTTTCTTCTTTGTGATAAATTCTCATTTTGAGAACTTGCTCAACAATATCTTATTTCTTCTTAAGCTTGTAGTTATCCAAGAAGTTGCTCCATCGACATGGTCTCCAAGTCTTTTGTCTCTTTAATCACGGTAACGATGTGATCGAAATTTGAATCCAATGATCGAAGAACTTTCCATGATTCTTATCTCATCTAATTTCTCACCATTTCTCTTTAGGTTATTAGTAACCATCAAGACTCTTGAGAAGTAATCTGAGATGACTTCTCCTTTCTTCATTTGTAGTGCTCCAAATTCTCCTCTTAGAGTTTGAAGACGTAGCTTAACTTGTTCCGCTCCCTTGTAAGAGGTCTGAAGCTTCTCCCATGCTTATTTGGAAATCTTTGCTCCAACAACCTTCTCAGATATATCTTCATCTAATCCTTGATAGATTAGACAGAGAGCCTTCTTGTCTCTCTTCCTTGAATCTCTCAAACCATCCTTTTGAGTTTGAGATAAACTCCCATCATTCTCCGGTTCAATGAAGCCTTTCTCTACTATCTCCCACACATCATGTGCTCCTTAGATAGCCATTATCCTAATTTTCATAGTTTCTCTTTGTGAGAAATTGAAATTACAAGGGAACACCACTAGTTGTCATCTTTAGCTATGATACTACTTTGTTGGAATGAAAACTTTAGTAAAGATGCAGAAAGTGTTTAAGTGTTTGAAGAGAACTTCTTATTACTTTTATGATTCTTACAAACTTGGATCATACAAAATGAAAGAAGAAGGGAGGTAGATATAGCCTCCAAAATACATAATATCTTACATATTTAAATCCTAAATCTAGATTATTCTTACATAATATCTAGATTATTTTATCTTAATTATCTAGATTTTTCTATAACAATATCTAGTTTTTTATCTTAAGGAGGTGGAGATTATTCTAGAACTTGGACTAAGTTTGGGATAAACATGATTAGTGAATTATTAGCCCAATAATACTTGATCCAAATCAAGTTTACTTTTCAACACACCCAACGGATGCTGCTGAAGCTGCAGCTGTTGTTATCTCGGAGGTTGTTCCTTTGTTTCCTCAAGAAAGGGAAGATCATCATCTTAAGCAAAGGAAACTCCACCACTGCAAAGGTCCTTACTTTGCTCTAGTTTCTTGAAATTATAATGCCTGAACTGTGATTAAAAATTGTTATTTGGCATGCAATGCAGTAGTCTGAAATGCAACGTGAGGAGGAGGAGGAGAAGAAGAAGAAGAAGAAGAAGAAGAAGAAGAAGAAGAAGAAGAAGAAGAAGAAGAAGAAGAAGAAGAAGAAGAAGAAGAAGAAGAAGAAGAAGAAGAAGAAGAAGAAGAAGAAGAAGAAGAAGAAGAAGAAGAAGAAGAAGAAGAAGAAGAAGAAGAAGAAGAAGAAGAAGAAGAAGCAAATAACGGTAGCGCTAATACGAACGCTATGTATCGGTAGCGCTAATACGAACGCTATGTATCGCTGTAATAGCGTTTTACAGATGCTATATATGACCTTTTTCTTGTAGCGCGACTGTCAAATTTCCATGGCCAGCTGAGAAGTAGGTGACACACATCTATTGGGACGATGTCGCAATATATCTCGTCATTATATGCGTCACCGATAGAGAAGGCGACCAATGCGTGACAAGTCACCAGTAGGTCGAGTGTTTTCTGTAACCAAGAAAGTTTGTACGGAGTTGGGTGGTGTTTGTCTTTAAGTGACAGCTTTGTAATGGCATCTGCAGCAATGATGTTCTGCTACTACCCGAGTCGATAATCAACTTATACACTTTTCCTTCAGTAGTACATCAGGAATGGAATATTTTATTGCGTTGTGGAAAATCCTCGTTGAGCCGAGGGGTGAGGCAAAACCGTTGCAGCATTAGTGAAACTCAATTATCTGCTTCCAGTTCCTCGTGTCCATCGACGAGAGAATCATCATACTCAATTTTGACATCACAGTCAAAAGAGTCATTTAAAAGTCTTCGTTGTTGCGGGTTGGGCAGGACGTCTGTCTGTGACCGAGTTCTCCGTATGAAAAACAGCGTAATGTGCCTGCTCGAGCTGGGCGTGATGCTTTAACTGGGACCACGGTAGTATCTGTTGTGGTAGTGACGGGTGTGTATTCGTTGTTGATGGAGTTGTAGTTGGTGTCATACATTGTTGTCGAGTCGAGTACCAGGGAGTGGAGCTTGTCTTACTTTGTACTTAGACTGTTAAAACTTGTTGGTAGGCTTCTGAAAATGTAAGAGGGTTAAAAAAATTCAATGTGTGCTGGATTTTCTGTCGTAATCCACCAACGAAACGGGCTACGAATTGTCTGTCTGAGTCATGAAGATCGATTCTGTTGAGTAACAAGAAAAATTATGTGGCATATTCCTTTACTGTGTGACTTCCTTGACGGAGATGTTGGAGGAATTGAAATATTATTTGTTCATAGTTGTAGGGTAAGAACGTTTTCCACATGTTTCCTCAGCTTGTCCTGTGACTCAATCTTAGTTTTTCTCATACGAAGTCTGGACGCTATAAGTTGAGTCCACCATGCAATTGCTCTACTTCAAAATCACATTGCAAGTATGGGGACGCAACGCTCGAGTGAGACTTTTTTGAATTCTAAGATCTCATTGACCGTAGCGATCCAATCAAGGACGAGTTCATTGGCTTCTTGGGTTCCATGAAATTCTGGAATCTCAAATTTGAAACTCAATCTTTTTTAAGACTTCTCGAAGAAGATGAACTGAATTGAATCTTTCTCAAGGTATAACCATAAGAAAAAACTAGTTTATTGATTATCAAAAGCGTAATTTACATAACCATAAGAGAGTTCCTTATATAGAACTTCTTAAACTGTGATAAAAAAAAACCTTAATAGAAACGGAAAAACACAAAACCATATGAAAATAGGAAATAACAGAATAATAAAGTTGTCTTTAGGCATTTAGGATGCTAGCTGCTGCATCAATATTTATATACAATGGTGAACCCAGAAATTTTTTTCTGTGGGCTCATAACTCATAATTACAAAAAAATATTAAATACAAAAAGTCATTGGAGGGGTGTGAACCGAGGTTTGTGGGTTCATTTTTACCATTGTTAACAAAATAGGCTGAAATAACTAATGTACACAGCCTAGAAATGTAACTTTGTATTTTTTGTGGTGCAACTGACCCCATAACCTTACATGTGGGTCTGCCCCTGTTTATATATGTTGTTGATAAGTACTGGTTAGAAAAAGATTCTATACAAGTGTAGGCTTTGTAGAATTCCTGGTCTACTTCTATTGACTTGAGACTTCAATATTAAGCTAGCTGTGATTGGTTGTTTGATTTATTGTGCCAAATATCCAGTCAATGAAAATAACCAGTCACTAGGTCCCAAATTCGCAAAAAAATACGAACAATACATTAATGGTTTTACTAAGTAGATAGATGGTGAAGCAAATCCATATGATAATTACTTTCCGGGGACAAAGTTGGTAGCGTAAGACCAGGCGTTGTTAGCCACAGGATCTGCCAAGTGATCAAACAAGTTCTCGATGGGACCTTTACCAGTAACAATGGCTTGAACAAAGAATCCAAACATAGAGAACATGGCCAGACGGCCGTTCTTGAGCTCCTTAACCTTCAACTCAGAAAAGGCCTCTGGGTCCTCTGCCAAATTCAATGGGTCGAATGCACCTCCAGGGTAAAGCGGGTCAAGACCTTCTCCTAGTGGACCACCTCCGATTCTGTAGCCTTCGATGAGACCCATGAGCACCACTTGACAAGCCCAGATGGCTAAGATGCTTTGCGCGTGAATCAAGTTAGGGTTTCCGAGGTAATCAAGACCTCCTTCCGAGAAGATCTGGGATCCTGCCTTGAACCATACGGCTTCTCCGAATTTGACTCCGTTCTTGGAGAGAATCTCAGGGAATGTGCATCCTAGAGCGCCCAACATTGCCCATCTGCTGTGGATCACTTCAAGCTCACGGTTCTTAGCGAATGTCTCCGGGTCAGCAGATAGCCCGGCGGTATCCCAGCCGTAGTCTCCGGGGTATTCTCCGGTTAGGTAAGACGGTGTGTTCTCAGAGAATGGTCCCATGTACTTGGGACGGTCTGGTCCGTACCTGTTACAAAGTCATATTTGTTTAGCTGTTTAGACATATCTCAAGAATTAATTAAATGAGAAGAGAGAAACTGAATCTGGTACCAGATGCTTTGAGGAGTAGACTTAACGGTGCGGCGCATGGTCACGCGGCCTCCACCGGAGACACCAACCTTGCGGAGGAGATCGTTGGAGGGTTTGAGGGCCGTTTGGCCAGCGAAGGAGGATTGCTGGATTGCTGACGTGGCCATTCCTTAACCAAGTCTTGTTGCGTTTCTTAACTAGAAGAATTGAAGAGACTGTGAGTTGAGAAAGGAGTGAAACCGACTGGGTTTTATATTACAGAGAAGGTAATGTTTGGGGATGATCAGATGTACACGTCAGCGAAACCTGATTGGTGAAAGAGTTGGATTTAGATTCGGTTGGTCCTTGGTAGAGAAATGTAGAGGTTGTGGTGGTACCACCTGGCAAGTGGAAGATCTTCTGGCTCAGTTTAGAGGATATTATTTCACAGATTTTATTGGATTGGGTTATTGACTATTCTTTCTTGATATATTTTGGATTTAATTTCTTTTAACATTATTTAAATCATAATTAGAACATGACCGGGTTTATAGTTCCAGAATTTGAAATAAATCCCAAATTATATAATTTATTTGAATAGTAGTGAAAAGAATACGATCAATATGTAGTAACTAGTGCATCCTTGGATTTAATTCCGGTTAAAAATGTTTAAAATTTTATAGATAATTTATATATAATTATAACTAGAGTTTGATCCGTGCGTCTGGACGAAATTAATTTTTACATTTTTATAATTTGTTTAATAACATTTTAAATATATAAATATAAGTTATTTAGATATTTTTAGGTTTATTACGAACATATCCGCCAAAATCAACTGACTAAAATTATGTCCAGAAATTTATAATATCCACACAGTTTAGTTTTAAAATCCAAAAAATCTGATACCCGAAACCCGATTTATATCTGAACGTGTAGATGAATGCATATGTTTAATTGATTATGTAAAAAAAATATTTGTTAACATGTTTGAATTTTCGTGCTAGTGAAACAATTTCATTCAAACATGTGAAATAATTATGGTTAACATGTAAAATAAGTAATGTCAAATTATTATGATAAATACAATTAATGTAATAGTTTGAAAAAAGTGGAGTGTAAAAGATATAATAAAAGAGTTAAAGATTGTAAGTTCTGTTTTGTAATTTTATAATAAATGATGTCAAATTATTTGGACAAAATCAATTAATAAAATAGTTAAGATGAGTGAATTATACGAATAAAATGTATATGTTGAAAATAATGTTCGTTCTATTTTGTAATTCAGTTTTACTAATATAGGTGCAAACCAGGGAAATATGATCATTTGGTTTTGAAAAACTGAAATATCTTTTGATTTGGTTTGGACTGGTTTATAGATAATCTAGACTGAGTGCCGAGAAAAAAAAAGAGATAATCTAGACCGAACATCGTTTTTGTACCCGTCCCCCTGCCCAACCCGGTACGTGAGAACCAACTCCACGTACCCAGGGGTGGACCCACTTGGAAAGTAATGGTGTCACTTGACACCACAAAAATATGTTAAATATTTGTTTTTGTATAAGAAAGCATTGAAAAGTTTGTAGCAGAGTGGTAAAATCTTGGGTTTGACACCACAAAAACCAGGGTTCAATTCCCACAAACGTCTGTTTTAAGTTTTTGACACCACACATATTTATTTCTGGGTCTGCCCCTGCGACGTACCTGTGCAACCTATACAGCTTAACTTGTTATAGAGAAAATGCCCCAGCTGATTATACTGTACAATACAAATATCAACAGCTGAAAAGATCTCTCAACCTGCATATTCAGTAATTTGAGGTCAGCTGCAATGCGATTCACAATCAATTTTGAATCAGCATCCTTATCTGAAACTTGATAATCATCATATAAAGGAAGAAAAGGTATGTCAATAACACAAAGGAAAGTAAACTATTATACCTGCCACATATGCTATTTTTGAAAGTTTCAAAAACCGCTAGCTGTCTACAAATGCTGGTTGTACATCTAGAGATTCTGACACTGTTCCTTCTTTAATAGGTATCATAGACTCTTAATCTTGTGCTAGAGCCAGTGAATGAATAGTGTCAAAGGCAAATGAGAATTGATGAAACACCTGATGAAGTCACAATAGATCCTAGTGACGCTTTAGAAATATCACTAGCTCGTCCTGGAATTCATCTCCAGCTGAAGAAGCTTAGAGACTGTTTTATAGTATACGGTTTAACTATAATTTGTTACACTTACTGAAACCGTGGTATAAAATCAGTATAAATATCACATCTTGGTGTACGCTTAAATATCTAATAAAAACAAATTACGAAAACTACCCGTTGTAGTGAGAAAAAAGTTTGGATTCAGTATTTACTTTGTTTCTTTAATATCTTCCCTACATTTGAAAATTAATTATTTTGCATAATTTATATGGAACTAGGGTCAGTCTGAGATACGCACAAAATATAATGTATTGATTTTATCAAAGATATAATATTTGTGTAACTTTTTTTTTTTTTTTTTTTGACAACGAACGGCTGATCTATTACTCAAGCTTGAGGTGGTCTGGAAATCCAGACCGGAATAGAACAACCAATAAACATGAGTTCCCGATAAAAGGATCGGGCAGTCTTAGCTAGGTGATCGGACACAACATTTAAATATCGAGGTACATAAGATATCTTAAACTCTGGAAAGCAAATCCTCAGCGTCGAGATCCTCTCTAATTCCGTTGAAAAGCTTGGCCATCCATGGGGATCCTTGAGCATTGCTATCAATTCCTTGCTATCCGTCCCAAAGCTCTGACATGGCGAATGTTGAAGCATGTTCTCCATTGCCCACCGCAGCGCTTCCAGCTCCGAATGCAACGCCGACTCCAGTCTACTTACGTTCCGCATCCCCATTAACTGGCCTCCCCCCATGCTATCCTTCCAATCCCAGCCACAGCCGGAGAATTGATCAACAGAGGTCCAAGAACCATCTAGCATACAAATATCACCTAGGCTTATGGCCTGCGGGTCTGTACTACCATCCTCTTGTGTCGCCTCCACCCCCTGCTCATTTGCCTGGAACCAGGCAAGACACTCGCTCTCAGCATACCGCGCCAACTCCAACGGGTCTCTATCTATTCCTCTGAACAACTTGTCATTCCGAGCCTTCCAAATGTACCATATTAACCAAGGATAAGGATCCTTGTCTAGGTCTGACCCACAGATACCTTTCTTACGCCAGAATAGATAATCCATATTCGCATATGTGCTTTCCAATGGAAACAAAGCTGAGCTGGAGGGTATAGATGATAAGGCCGATGCCTGTACAGCCGGCGGGCATTGGAAAATTGCATGTGCAATCGTTTCATCCGGTTCCCCGCACCGTGGGCAGAAATTATCGCATCGCATATGTCTTTGATTCAACGCGCTCGTGACTGCCACCTGTCCCGAAATGATCTGCCACATAAGATGACACATCTTCGGGGGAGCCTTAATTTTCCAAACTTGTGCCTGAAGCCTTTTAAAGCTAGGTTCATCTACCAAGTCCTCCTCCTCCTTCATCAAGATATTACGAGCGACCCAATATCCAGACTTAACTGTGTATTGCCCACTCCTAGTGTAACTCCAACAGAATGTATCTCTGCGATGGGTTGAGCTGATTGCCATACTCCTTATGAGAGGTATATCATCAGAATCAACATATAGTGTTAGCCGTTCCAGGTCCCAGGACTTTGTTCTTTGGTCGATAAGATCGCTTACTCGCATATTTGGGTGCAACACCGGAGCTGATGCATGCGCTGGCCTTGCGGGGATTGTGGGAATCCACGGATCCTCCCATATCTTAACTTCATACCCTGAATGTACTTTGTGTCTAATCCCCAATAGCAATAGCTCCCGTGCAGCCGAGATACTTGTCCACACGTACGAAGGACTACTGACAGTGTGTTTTCGCAAAGGCGAACTTTGTCTATAATATCGCCCCCTCATAACACGAGCAACCAGTGAATCCGGATTTTGTGCTAGCCTCCATAACTGCTTGCCTAGCAATGCCAGGTTAAACTCATGTATCATCCTGAATCCAATTCCACCCTCCTCCTTGGGCTTGCACAACTTATCCCACGTTGTCCAGTGTAATCCTCTCTTTGGCGGGTTTGAACTCCACCAAAACTGTGCAATGGCACTAGCCAAGGCGTCACATATCTCCAATGGGAGTAAAAAACAAGACATAACATATGTTGGAAGAGCCAACAAGATTGACTTGATCATAACTTCCTTTCCACCTCTGGACAACCATCTACCCGTCCAACCATTCACTCTGTTCCGGAGTTTATCTTTTAAGAAAGCAAACAGCTTACATTTCGATCCACTGATATCCTCTGGAATTCCTAGATAGGATCCCATTCCCGCGTCATTATGTATCCCAAGTGTGTCTTTGATCTCCTGCCTTACCTCTTGACCAATCCTCTTACCAAAGAGTAAAGAAGACTTGTCAAAATTGATGCACTGTCCCGAGGCTTTCCCATACTTTGTAACCACTTTCATCACTTCTTCACATTCACGGGGCTCCGCCTTACAGAAAAACAGGCTATCATCAGCAAATAGCAGGTGGGACACCGAAGGACATGCACGTGTGATGCGCATCCCCGTTATCTTTCCCTGATTCTCTGCGTGATTAAGAAGGCTAACGAGCGCTTCCGTGCATAGAATAAAGATGAAAGGGGACAAAGGGTCCCCCTGACGTAAACCTCTCTCCGGGACAATATTCCCTCGTGGCTGTCCATTCATGAGTACCTTATACTTCACTGTCGTTATGCAACGCATAATCCAAGTAATCCAGATTTCTGAAAAACCCATTTTCCTCATGGTGGCTTCAATGAAAGACCATTCCATACGATCATATGCCTTACTCATGTCTGTCTTAATGGCCATCCTCTTATTGCGCCCACTTGGTTTCGTTCTTAAGGCATGGAACAATTCCTGAGCTATCATTATGTTATCTGATATTTGTCTCCCAGCAACAAAGGCTGACTGGGTCTCAGATATCCTGTCTGGAAGAACCTTCTTCAGTCTTTGACATAAAACCTTTGAGATAATCTTATAGCACACATTGCAGAGACTAATGGGGCGGAGTTGACTCATTTGGTTTGGCTTGTCAACTTTCGGGATAAGACATATATTGGTATCGGTAAGGCCCGTTGGAATAGTCCCTTGAAATAAGAAATCATTAACCATACGGGTTAAATCTTCCTTAACGATATCCCAGAAATTTTGATAGAATAAGGCCGTCATTCCATCAGGCCCAGGAGCCTTCTCAGGATGCATTG